GCGTGGACCCTGACTCCAGCAGGTGGGGCCAGCGTCTCCAGGCCGGTTCTGGGGACGGGGAGGGGCTGAGGGGCGCCCAGAAAGAGGGAGGGCGAGAAGTGGGCGCGGCTGCGTGAAGAACCAAGTGAAGAACCTGGGACCTAAGATTAGAAGGGTAGTGGGCAGCGTTGAGAGAAAACTCAAAGGTCCGCGTCAGGCTGGAGGTCGCGGCTGAATCACTCAATACCCCCCAGCCGCAGTCCGAATCCCTTGGTCCTTCCTGCAAAATGGGCTGATTCGCAGGTCCAGCTTCCAAGAGTTTCTTGCAGAAGAAGCCACACGCCTAAGTCAGGGGGCAGATCCAGGCCCGGCGGGGCCGGGGTGGGCAGTAGAAGGGGGTTAGGGGAAGGCAGCACCTCGGACGTGCCGCACCGCCGGGTCCCCGCGCCCCCCGTGCCCTCCCAGCAGCCCGCTCTCGGGTCCCTGCAGGGTCGGCCCGGCTCGCCCGTCCCAGCCCAGCTTCGGCCCCGCCCGGCCCCGCCCTCTCCCCACAGCTCGGGGCAGACCCGCCCGCTGGAGCCGGAGTTACAAGAGCCGCCTCCGCGCGCAGGGGCCCGGCCACTCGGAGCAGCTCCGCCGCGGGGACTGCACCGCCCGCCCTGCCGGACCCGCCCCGACCGGGGCTCGCCGCCTGCAGCAGCCTCAGCACCGCAACCTCGGGCCCCGAGCCGGCTATGGCTGTGGCCTGGGGCTGAGCGCGCAGGTAGGAGCTCCCGGCGCACCTTGGCGCGATCAGGGGACGCGTCGCTGGGAACGCGGGAGGGGAGGTGGGTGGCAGGACTTGGGCGAGGCGCTTTGGGTGGGTGTCACTGTGAAGGCTCAACTTGGAGCAAGGTGGGCAGCCCCGGGCAGCCACCGGGAGGCCAAGCGTAGTGCCCTGGGAGCGGAGCTCCGCCTCCGGAGTTGGGGCGTTGGAAGGGGCGCAAGTTGGGCAAAGTTGGAAAATCTCTTCGAGGCGCGGTTTGCTCCAGTCCGTCTGTCTCTCGAGGGCTGATCGTTGTCCCTGCTGCACGGCCGGGCGCCGGTTCTTGGCCCGGTGGCCCCGTCCCACCCCCTCTGTCTCCATGGGGCGGTGGCTCGGCGCGCTGCTATTCCGTGTTTACTGGAGAAGTTTCCGAGATCGCGGCGCGGCCCCTCGGCCCCTCCCGGCGCCCCTGCGCCCCCGCGCCGCGCACCCCATCCGCCGTCCCTCCCCGCGCCCCACACCTCCGCCCCGGACTTCGCGTCCCGAGTCCTCCGGGCCCCACCCAGTTCTGCAGCACCAGCCTCTCCCTTTCTGGCTCCCGGTGGCCCCTCAGCCTCCCTTCGGCTGCCCCGCCCTAGCCTTGCCCCTCTGGGTTCCCAGCTCCAGAAAAAATCCCTTCTTCCTCTAGGGCGGCGGAGCCGGGAAGTGTGCAGCGCGCCCCGCGGCGGGACGGGTGGGAGTGGGGGTGGGGGACATAATTGGGGAGATTCTTGCACTGGGGGTGGGCGGGGAGTGGAGCTGTGCAGCGGCGCGGCCCTCGGGACCGCCCCTTCCCCTTCGGAGGCGGCGCTCTCTCCCCAACTCCACTCCCAAACCCGTCCGGGCGGGATGGCCTCCGCCCCAGCGCCTGGCTCGGCGCCAGCAGCCTGAGGAATGTGGTGGTTGGAGCCGGTGACTAATTCAAACCAGAGCTCGGGGAGGAGTGTCGAGGGGCAAAGGGGAGGGGGGCGACGGGGCTTGTGTGGGAGGCGGGGGCCCGAGTCCGGCGGCCGTAGGGGGAGGAGGGCTCAGCTGCCCTCCCCGGACCCCTCCGCTCCCGAGGCGCGCTCTTGAGGCGACAGCGGAGGGGCGAGGTCCTGCCGGGGAGTTGGAAAGACTCCGGGCTTAGGGTGTGTTCGGAGAACTGTGTTATATAAGGCTTTCCCATGCCGGGAGAGGGTGTGCAGTGCGCGAGGGCTGGCCCTTCGCTGGCAGGCTCGGTGCCCCCTGCAGTGCCAGGGCCCCGGGATGCGGGGGCGCAGCCCTTTGGCGTCTCTGGCCACGAGGGGCACGTGGGTCTGAGCAAGGCTGACTCTGCCCTGTGGGTGGGAGGGGAGCCGAATGGGCAGATGAGGCATCTAACTGGACCCCTGGACCACGTGGGGAGGGCACTGGCGCCTTTGCACGTTGTGGCCCCAGAGAATTGTGAGCCTCGTGTGTGCCTTTCGCAGGGCGTGGCTGCCCACCCGGGAGGTGGTGTGGTGCCCCCAGTGAGCCTGCTGCTGGGTGCCCTGTTCTGCACAGTGGATCTCTGAAAAGGCACGGTGGGATCGATCGTCCCCGTGCCAGTGAGATCCTTAGAGCAGGTCCTGGACCTTTGGAGGAAAAGGGACCCAGATAGTTACCTCCGGGTTTTGAAACAGTTTCCTCGACTAGGATCCAGCCTCTGACTGCAGGGATCGTGTGCCCTGTGGTGCACAGCCTAGAACATGAGAGAGACTGGGTTGATTTTGGGCGGCACAGTGATGCTTTGGAGGGCTGGGGTGATAGAAGAAGGCAAGGGAGTCAGGGGAAAGGAGAGAGAGGTTGAAGATGCACTGGAAGGCATTTTAGGGCCCCCTCACCAGGGCTGGGTGTAAATTCGGGGAGTAGTTTCTCCTTTGGTGCTCCCTCTCTTCTGCCCCCAGGAGGGAAATCCCTGGGGCAGGGTGTGGCACTCACTTCCTTTCTGAAGCTCAGTGGGGAAGCTTCCTTTTCCTTGGCCCCCAAAGATGATGGGTTGGGCTAGCTCTTGATTGGGGCGTGTATGCAGAGTAGGGAGAGAAGGGAGCCCGGGGCTGAGGGGTGAGGTTGGGGGGGAGAGGACGGGGAGAGGCATGGGGGCATGAGAGGTGGGCTAGCAGAGGACGAAGGGTCTGGAGTATTGGCAATGGGGATTGGAGAGTGTCTGAGGCCCTCCCCAAAGTCTTGTCCTTAAAGGTTATACGCAGGGACATTGCTCAGAGAACCAGGACACTTAAGAAGCCATGGTGGGGCTTACTGCCCATGGTGGGGGGCCCGCAGCAGTGATTCAAGGGTCCTTGTCGGGGCAACTTTGTGAAGAGCTGAGAACTTGAACCAGCCAGACTCCAGCTGAGGGGGATGTGTGACGGCAGGTCCAGGGCTCAAAGTGGGACCCAAAAGAGTGACTCCTGGGAGACCTGTGAAGGGAGACGGCCATCATCGGTCAAGGGCAGGGAATGGGCTGGGGGGTCCTGGGGTCACCTTCGTCCCAGGAAGGCCTTGGCTGGGGGTTCCCCAGACACCACCGACCTGGATTCCTAGGCTCAGTTGGAATGGGCTGGCTGGCCCTGGCCGAGCACACCACCCGAGCCTGAGGAGCTGGTTTGAGAGGTTGGGGCGAAGCTGTGGGGGTGGAGGAGTGTGTGGGTCTCTGGGGCGTGGTCATCACCTTCCTCAGCACTTGGGAACCGCCTGGGGACAGGCAGAAGCAGACTGGGAGAGCTAGTTCGGCTCCTGCTGGTAACTCTCCCCTGCTCTCACCATCCCGCCACACCCCGGAAACCCCAGCTTCTCTCTGCCCCTGGAGCTGGGCTAACCGGGGGCAAGTGCACACGAGGCAGGGGGGTCGCCCCTGGAGAGGGGTGGGAATGGGACGTTTCAAATGGTGGTCACTAGGGCTTTCTGCTCTCCCATTGCCCCCCCCCCCCCCCCCGGGCTTCATCCAGGCTCCCAGGGAGCTGGCATTTCCCCAGGCTCTGACCATCCCGCTGGTCTCCCGACCTTCCTGAGCTGACTGGTTTCCTCCAGGCTTGAGTGAGCCTAAGAGGCACAGCGGGGGGAAGGGGTTCTCCTGGGTGGGCCACAGCGGGCTCAGCAGGAATGTGTGTGTGTGTGGATGGACCCCCCTTCCTCCCTTCAGTCTCCAGACAGCCAGCTGGGCTGTTGTAGGGGAGATCCCGGCTCTGGGGTCACTGTTTCATGGTGGCCTAGAGACTCTGCTCGTGTCACAGCTGAGAAATAAGTGTTGTTACCTGTGAGAGGGCATCTCTGGCTGGCGGGCCGGTCCTGAATGCGTCATCTGTGCTTGTGTCTGGGGCATAGGGGGCAGGGGGTAGCCGTGGGACTCTGCCGTGGTGGTGGTGGAGGTCTCATGGGGGCTGCGGGGGCTGTAGGGAAGGACTCCAGTGAGTTTCTCCGTCTTGGACGGTTCTAGGCCCTGGAGTTTGTGTCCAGAGGCCTGAGGGAGGGTGAGCACAGGCCTGGGCGTGAGGCCGTGGCTGATGGAGGCTTCAGGGAGGGGCATCCTGCCCTGTCCCCCGGGGGCCGGAGCGGAGGTTCTAGGGGAAGGGGAAGCGCCTGGCCGGGCTGGGGGTGGCTCTTTGGCAGCTGGGCCGAACGGCCTGGCCGCGAGCCCCTGCACTAGCGGGTTCTGGCCGCTGGGCGGAGAGCTGGGCCGTGGTAGCTCCCAAACTGTAATCTATCCCCCAGGGTGAGACTGGGTGAGGGAGCGAGCTCACCCCTCCTCAACTCAGCAGGGCGCTTTCCCCCCACCCCACATCCCTGAGCTGGTGTCTTCATCCTAGCCGTCCTGGGTCAAGGCCCACTCTTCTCAGGAGAGGTGGCCAGGTGTGGGGACTGCCCGCATGGGGAATGTAAAGCTGCCCCAGACACCCCGCCCCCCCCAAGACCCCCTCAGTCCCACAGGGAAGTCCCTCTGGGTCAGAGAAGGAAAACAGAATTTCTCTTCTGGCTGGAAGCTTGAACTTGGAGCGCTGGGGCTAGGGGAGTGCGAGGGGCCAGGGGACAGAGGTGGAGAAAGACCGCTGGGCTGAGCCCTGGAAGCAGCTGGCTCCCAGAGGTGGGGATGGGGAGCTGCCCTGGAAGCCGAGGTGCGGGGAAACTCCAGCATGGCAGTGAGGGGCCAGGGAGAGGGACTAGAGGGGAGGAGAGGGCTGGGCGATGAGGCTGGAAAAGCTTCTTCCTGGTGGGAGGTGTGGGCGAGGCCAGCGGCCCAGGCAGCGAGGGAGGAGCTGGGCAGGTGCACACAGACTCTGGACACCAGGTAACAGAGACAGGCTCCCTCCATGATGGACAGGGCCTGGGGCTGCCCAGACTGGTGTCTGTTGTGAGCTGGTAGAGGCAGGGACTGTGGGCCTGCTCTGGGCTGAGAAGGGTGGGGACTCAGGAGTGTCTCTGCATGCATTGGGTGGGTCTGTTGGCCTTGTGAGTCTTTGATCATCTCTCCAGTGCCCCTGTTGCCCATGTCTTGCAACATGTTGGTCAGATTCTCCCTGATAATTCGACCTCCCCAACACACACACCCTATGCAAGTTGAAAGTGCCCCTGGGGGTGCACTGCCCAGAATCAGCTGACCTAAGAGTCCTCGGTGCTAACGTAGACGCAGGAGATAACTGCGCAGTTCTACTCTGTTTAGAATGGGACAGGTTGTTTTTCCAGACCGAGGTCTGGCAGCTGCATACATGGAGGTCCATTTGGAGATTTTAGCACCCGGAAGAGAGGCCACCCCTCTCTTTCTCCTTGTTCCTCTGACCTGGCGTCTGCCCGTCATGGCTGTTCCCATTTCGTGAGTGGAAGTGTTTGCCTTAACCTGCCATGGTGTGTCTCCAGGTGGGCCTGTCTCTTGGTCTTCACCTGCTGGGGTCCAGAGAGTCTTCAGGTGAGCTGGGTTCTGGGCAGCTCAGGATTTCTGAGTCCCAGGGACACAGTGCTGATGAGCCTAGAACCACAAGGGCCCTCAGATCCTGGGCTTTGGGATACCTGGGGCTCTGCCCATTCTGGGTTTGCTGTCTCCTTGCTGGGTTGGGACACGGCTGGTGTGTGGGACAGAGGCTGTTGGCCACTCACCTTTCTTCCTGTGCTTGTGACGCTTGATGGGCATCACTGCTTCATGGGGGTCTCCCGCCCCTACCCGAACCTCAAGCCCTCTCTTTCCTGTGTTTTAACGTCCCCTGAAGCATCCTGGTCTCACTCTGTGGGTCTCTCTTTGGACGAGCCTGGAGGCCTGTCCGCCTCCCTGTGGGTGGGTCTCTCCGGCTCTCACTGGGCCCCCCTCTGTGTAGATCTCTCTCGCCTGTGTATCTCCCTTGTGCATCTTTGTGGTTTCTCATCCTGTTTCTGTGTTTATTCGTGTCTTCATCCCTTTCCCTCGTTAAGACTGTTGGCCTCAGAGTCAGAGATCCCTGGGCTTGCATTTCACTTCTGTTTCATACCTGGGCAAGTCATTTAACTTTGGGGCCTGTTTCTGCACTCTAAAATAAAGATATTAATTCTTAATCACATGGAATTATTTGGGAAAGAACAGGGACCCCATGCATGGAACGAGCACAGTCCTGGGGCGCTATGGGAGCTCGGCAAAAATCTTTCTCTTCACCTGGGAGGGGTTGTTTCTTTTAATGTGGCTCTTTCTCTTCCTCTTTACTGCCCGGGGAGTGTTCATGAGAGTAGGTGGCCTCTCTGGGTGTGTCTCTCTTTTTTCTGAATATCCCAGCCCCTGGTCCTTGGTTATACGTGTGTTCTTGGCTTTCTGGCCGGTGGCAGTCTCAGCTCTGGTTGTGAGTCATCTGGTTGTTCTCATCTTGGGGTAGTGCTTCTCCGGGGCCTGTGTGTATGGCGGGTCAGTTTGCCCATGTGCTGGGTGGAAGTTTCGTTGCTGTCTGCATCCTCCCCACTGCGGGCTGGGTGCTTCTTTCCATCATGGTGTGCCACCTCCGATGTCCTGCCTGTGCCGGGCATCTGCACAAATTCGGGTCCCTCTGCTGTGTATCTTGACTTCAGGTGTGGCGCGTGGAGGCACTGGGGCGTACAGACCTGACTCTCGGGGCGGGGGATGTGTGTGTGTGTATCAGTTCCTGTCATCTTGACACTGACCCTGGCTGCGAGATTGTCTCTGGCTGCTGCAGCAGTTAGACTGCGCCCCCTCCCTGGCTGTGTTCACACTGGCTCTTGGGCAGAAGCAGTTTCCTGGGACCAGAGGGAGAACATGCCCTTCTCAGGGGGGTCACAACTGGCAGGGACCATCCTCCCTGGGCAAAAGATCTGCTTCCTGCTCTTCTCCTGGGTCCGCCTGGGTATTGCCCACCCAGGGCAGAGATCTGCAGAGATGGCATGGCAGAACCCTGCTGCACATCCGCTTTGTGGTTTTGAATCATTAGGGCAGCTTCGTTCTTCTCTAGCTGCTTCTGGCCTGAGTTACATGTCCTTGCAGCCTCAGATGCGTGTCCTCCCTGCCTTGAAGCTGGAGTGTCCTTGCCACGTCACCCCTTTTTTGCCCTCCAGGCTGCCCTCTGCCTTAGAGGGTCTCTACTCCAGTCCTTACCATCATGAAGGTTACTGTGAGCTGGTGTCAGGTACAGGCGGGGAGCTGGCAGACCTGGGCGTTCTAGGGCCCCAGCGCTCCCCCATTCTCAGGGCTCCGGACCTCATTCTCCCCATCTGTCAATAGCAGGCAGTGCCGTCCCACAGAACTTTCTGCAGTGGTGGCAATGTTCTGTATTTGTGCTTTTAATATGGTAGCCATGTGTGGTTGTTGAGCTCTTGAAATGTGGTTCCTACAACCAATGGGCTAAATGTTTAATTTGATTGAATTTAAGTTAGGACTTCCCTGTTGGCTCAGATGGTAAAGAACCTGCCTGCAGTGCAGGAGGACCCGGGTTCGATACTTGGGTGGGGAAGAGCCCCTGGAGGGGGGAATGGCAACCCACTGTGGTATTCTTGCCTGGAGAATCCTACGGATAGAGGAGCCACATGTGGCCTTTATAAAGGGTTCTTCCAGCTCCGAGGGCTTCGAGGGACGCTTGAGGAATGTGTAGAATTCCCCAAGGCTCCAAAGACTCTGCTTTGGGCGGCAGCAGGGTGGAGCTCCTAGCCCCCAGGGAAGCTGGCTTCACCTGACATGTGGGAGAAGAAGGAACGACCCCCTGGGTTTGGTACAGGCCCCAGGGGTGGGGGAAGACCACGGGCTGGGACCCGAGTGTAGAAAATAGGTCCTTACAACTGTGGCCTTGAATCCCCTGTCAGCACCCCTATGTTCCGCCAGGTCAGATGGAAAGGGAGGGGAGGGGAGTCTTGCCTGGCTGTGCCAGGAGGTGAGGACTGAGCTAGGGCAGGCAGGGTGGTTGGCAGCCCCACCTGGCTGGGAAGCCAGCGGGTGCTCCGCCAGGGTCAACCTGCAGCCTCGGGTCCAGCGCCTCCCGTTCTCACGGGCTGTGGTCCCTTCTTCACTCATGATGTCCTCCTCATTAGCCCCTGGGGTGGAGGCGTGTGGCAGATCCCTCCCACCTGGGCTTCCGGGCGTTCCGGGCCGGGGGCTCTGGGCCGAGCAGCTGGCAGGGAAGCCCATTGCCTCTTCCTGGAGCCCCAGCCCCTCCGGCACCGAGAGGTCTGGCCCATGAAGCGGGTTTTAGGTGTGACCCTTGGCGTGTCTGGAGCTGTTGCGGCCGCAGTGACTCACTGGGGAAGGAGGAGGGTGGGGCCGAGATGTGGGCGAGGGTGAGCTCTGGCTCTCTGCCCCCCTTGCCCGCTGCTGGCTCAGCACCAGGATGTGAGGCTGAAAAAAGGGGCCCTGCTCAAGGAGGAAGAGAGGACGCCAGCTCATTCGGTGGCTTCGGGGAGCTGCAGAGCCCTTGGGTGGAAGCCTTTCCCTTTCCCTCCTGCTCTGGCTCCCCTCTTGTCTGCGGGGCTGGCTACTCAGTGCTGGAGGCTGAGGGAGGGCACCACTGAAGTCCCAGCTTTTGCTGTTTCTCTGTGGGAAGGGTCAGCCCGACTTCCAGTAGGAAGGGAGGAGGTGATTGCCCCAGCTGACACCTGTGCCAGCAGGCTTCCTGCTGGCCTTCTGGCTGGCACCTGCGCTGACATAAATACCACGTAAGCGAGTGCAGGTGGTTGGGGAACAGGGTGTCTGTGACTGTCTTCATCAGTATTATGATCTGCCTGACGTTGGAAGCCCTACGTGCTCATGAATTTCCATAAATCTTACCCTCAAAGGCAAACTCAGTACCTTCAAGATCCCATTTAGATTTCATCCCTCCTCCAGAAGGCTCCCAAACCTTCTGGAACATTCTGAGGCCAGATTAGTCACACCCTGAGCACCTTGCTCATTATTTATATCTGGGATAGGAACTAAATCTTTTTTTTTTTTTTTTTGGCTGTGCCATGTGGCACGTGGGTTAGTTCCTTGACCGGGGCTGGAACTTGGCCCCTTGCATTGGGAGCTCGGAGTCTTAACCACTGGGCCCTCAGGGAAGTTCCAGCAACTAGGTCTTTTGACTCTCCATGTGTGGCCCGTGGAGCATGTTTGGAGGATACACCGGTGACATTAGGTAACAGCCTAGCAGAGCGTGTAATTCAGAGCTGGGCTGAGAGCTTCCGTCCCTTTCTGGTTTTTTCTGCAGCGCCCTGTACAATGATGCAGAGGCAATCGGTATGCGTGTATTAATTGACTGGTTGGCTGATGATTTCTGGATGTCAGCGGATTTTGGCTCTGGGTGAAGCTCTCCACGATTTAGAGCACCCCCTCACGGTTTCACAGATGTGTTCCTGGGTGGCTGCCGCCCCCATTTTGTGCGGGTGGCTGGAGGCTGGAGGCCCGCCTGGTGTCTCCCTGGGTGCCCCCGCAGCCAACAGCTGTAGCTGGAGGGTGTCTTTGCTTCTCACCTATGGGCACCTGGCTCCAGGCCCAGCCTGGGCAGCCTGATGGGCCCTGACTAACCACGTGCCTGAGATGGCATGACTGGACCGCAGCATCTCGGGCTTGCGCCAGTGCTGAGGGGCCTGGGGCTTCCATTGCTCAGCCTCTGCCTGTAGCAGGGTCCCTGGAGCTCCAGCTGGTGAATGTCCCCCTGGACCCAAGGCCGGGGTTAGACAGGGTGACCCAGCATCGCTCACCTTGGGCCACCACCAGCCCGGCTTGCAGGTTGCCCATGACCCCCAGGGCTGGAGGCTCTGAGGAAGGGGGTCACGCACCTGTTAGAGCTGCATGCCTGATGTGATGTGTCGAGGGAAGAGTTAACAGGCTCAGAGCCCAAGCATGTTGCTCTCTTATGGTGGACCCCAGCCGGCTGGCCTCTCTGAATCTCAGTTTCTCCATCTGCGCTGTGGGGCAGTAACATCTCCCTCCTGAACATGTTCCAAGGGACCCAGTGAGGATGTGGATGTTGGGAGGTGCCCATGGGCCAGAGCTTTCCACTCATGTTCTTTCTCCTTCTTCCTCCTCCTTCAGTCCTCATGGGGATCCTTTATCGTTTCCATTTGCACAGATGAGGAAATGGAGGTTCAGAGAAGTTAAGTGACTTGGTCTGGGTCACATAGCAGGCAAGATGCCAAGCCAGGATTGGAATCTAAGTCTGACCTCTTCCAAAGCCCCTTCCCATGATTCCAGCCTTGGAGAGTCACATGTGAATGGAGTTGATGACAGTAGCGGTGTTGGGGTTTTGGTTTGGCCCCGGCAGACAGGACATTCAGCCATCTCTCTTGCGTAGCAGCTGGGGCGGGGCTGTGAGCGAGCCAGCTGTTGAGTGAGAACCTGATCATGACCTTTCCCCTAGACGGTGTGACCGAGATTCCCAAGAGAGAGATATTCTGAGGAGAGAAGAGGAAGGAGGGGCGGGCTCCTGGCAAGGCATCTGCTCCTGACCCAAGTCCTGCGAAGGTCAGTAGGAGGGAGGGGGAGGTGACCGGGTGGGGAATGGGGAGGGTAGAGACCTGGATAGACTGGAGCATGGAGCATGGGGCAGGGAGGGGCATGGAACGGGATGAGGGGCCGGTTACTTCTGGTGTGGTTGCAACCACTGACCCATTTCCGATTTCTCCCTTGTGCCTTGGGAGCTCGCCCACAGCAGAAGCCGGCACCTTGGAGACAGTGCCCCGCTCCCGGGGGGTATCCCTGGCTTCCTCATCCCCCCGTGGCCTCGCGCCCCCACTGCCCTGAGCTCCATTTCGTTACCCCATCCAGATGGAGAAGGAGGAGGAGATGACTCGGGAGCTGCTGCTGCCCAACTGGCAGGGCAGCGGCTCCCACGGGCTGACCATCACCCAGAGGGATGATGGCGTCTTTGTGCAGGAGGTGATGCAGAACTCCCCTGCGGCCCGCACTGGGGTGGTCAAGGAGGGTGAGTCTTCTCGGGGTGCGGGCTGGTGCTGGGGTAGCGGGGAGGCTGGTGGAGGGGAGGGTGGGGCGAGGGCAGCACAAGCAGGCGCCTGGCTGTGGAGTGCCTGGTCTCAAGTGACATCAGGATGGTCGGTACCCAAGCCCTGCCCTCCCCTGCCCACTCTTTGTCGCTTGTTCATTCACAGTCCTCGTGGGAGGCGGTCCCGTGGGTTGGAGATGTTGTGGGTCCTCTGTTCTGACTCCACCACCCAGGAGTTTGGCCGCTTTGGGCCAATTAGTTGTCCTCCCTGCCTCAGTTTCCTCATCTCTACCATGGGTGTTAACCATACCTGTGAATCAGTCCAAGGGCCCAATGCAAAGTGCTGGGTTGTGGGTTGTTTCCCCGAGACTCTGGGTGGTCTTACCCACATCTTGCTCTTTCCTGCTCAGGGGACCAGATTGTGGGTGCCACCATCTACTTTGACAACCTGCAGTCGGGTGAGGTGACCCAACTGCTGAACACCATGGGCCACCACACCGTGGGCCTGAAGCTGCATCGCAAGGGGGACCGGTCCCCTGAGCCTGGCCAGACCTGGACCCATGAGGTCTTCAGTTCCCACAGCTCCGAAGTGGTTCTGGTGAGTTCCTGGCTGGCCGGCTTCTCCCTGAGCTCCTCTGGCCACTCGGCTCCCTTTCCTGGGCCTTGCTTGTCCTTCCTTGCTTTTCTCGCCCACTCTCACCCTCTGCTCTCTGTTGAGCCAGCCTGTTTCTCCTATTCATGTGTGGCTGCTACTGCTGCTAAAACAATCTCCCGTTGGTCTCCTCAGAGGCCCCTGTGTGTGGGGACCCACTGATGAGTCTGGTCCGAGGTGCTGGGAGGCAGGTCGGCTGCTATGTGGGAATCTGAAAATTATTTTCTCAGTGCCCAGCTCTGCCTCCCAGACATTATTTTTCTGCTTCCAGAGGCCTGGACTCGTCTGTGAGTCAGAGGCTGGGCAGTGAAGTGCCTGAGGGATGTTTCTCTGCTCCTTCCGATGGCTTGTTTATTTAACAAATAATGAGCCCCTCAAAGTGGAAGTGTTAAGCCCAGCACAACCGGGCTCTACCGATGCTGTCGGAAGGGTCCCTGAGAGGACTCCCCTCAGGATTAAACCAACAAGGCCAGGCAGTTGAGAGCTGAAAACTGAAGTAAGTCAGCACAGGGCTAGTTGCCGGGAGGCGTCTGAGAAACTTGACGGGCTGACTGGAATCTAGAATCGGTTGTGAATCCTTCTCCCAGGTCCCAGTGTCCCGGAGTCTACTGTCCCCAGTCTTCCCCATGGCTTTTGCTTGCCAGAGTTTCCCCAAATAATTTGTTTTCTTCCTGTGATGTGGCTGTCAGCCCCTCTCTTTAGCCCCTCATGCTGGGTCCCAGAAGGCTCCGTGGGCCTCCCTAACGGTCCCGGCTTCCCTGGGGAGCAGGAGACCGTGCTGTCGGCTGGGCTGTGGCCGGGCGTCTGTCACTCGCACAGACTCTGCTGCAACCTGTACGGGGCATGTGTTTCTGCAGAGCGGGGATGACGAGGAGTACCAGCGCATCTACGCCACAAAGATCAAGCCTCGGCTGAAGTCAGAGGCCGGAGTGGAAGGGGACGCTGGGGAGACCCAGAGCCGTACCATCACGGTGACCAGGAGGGTCACGGCCTACACTGTGGATGTGACAAGCCGTGAAGGTGCCAAGGACATTGACATCAGCAGCCCAGAGTTCAAGATCAAGATCCCACGGCACGAATTGACCGAAATCTCCACTGTGGACGTGGAGACCCAGCCCGGGAAGACAGTGATCAGACTGCCCTCGGGCTCAGGGGCTGGGTCTCCCACCACAGGCTCCACCGTGGACATCCGAGCAGGGTCCATTTCCACTGCAGGCCCAGAGTTGCCAGGGGCTGGCCACTCGAAGGTCCAGGTCACCGTGCCTGGGGTAAAGGTGGGAAGCCCGGGGGTCAGTGTCAATGCAAAGGGCTTGGACTTGGGTAGCAAAGGAGGGATCCAGGTCCCAGGGGTGGATGTTTTGTCCTCTCTTGGGGGCGGGGCAGTAGAGGGGCAGGGCCCATCTCTTGATGGGAAAATTAAATTTCCCACCATGAAGGTGCCAAAATTTGGTGTCTCAATAGGGCCTGAGGGCCAGGCCCCCGAGGCGGGGTTGAGCGTTTCCCCCCCTGAACTCTCTGTGGGGCACAAAGGTGGCAAGCCAGGTTTGACTATTGGTGGAAGCATCCAGACCCCTCAGCTCGAAGTTAGTGCCCCCTCTGCCAATATTGAGGGGCTTGAGGGGAAGTTGAAGGGCCCCCAGATCACTGGACCATCCCTTGAGGGTGGCCTAAGCCTGAAAGGTGCCAAGCCACAGGGGAGTTTAGGAGTGGACATCTCTGTGCCCCAAATTGAGAGCAGCGTCTCTGGCTCCAGGGTAGAAGTTCAAGCTCCTAACATTGACATTCATGGGCCTGGGGGCAAAGTGAATGTGCCCAAGGTGAAGGCCCCTCAGTTCTCTGTATCAGGTTCTAAGGGAGACAGGCCTGGCATTGATGTGACACTACCCACAGGTGAAGTGACGCTTCCTGGGGTCTCTGGGAATGTCAACCTGCCTGAGGTTGCTTCTGGGGGTCTGGAAGGGAAGTTGAAGGGTCCTAAAATCAAGGCTCCTGAAATGATTATTCAGAAACCTAAAATCTCCATGCAGGATGTGGATCTGAGCCTTGGGTCCTCGAAACTGAAAGGAGACATTAAGGTTTCTGCTCCTGGGGTGCAAGGTGATGTTAAAGGCCCTCAAGTGGCAGTTAAAGGTGCCAAAGTAGACATAGAGACACCCAGCCTAGAGGGAACCATTACTGGCCCCAAACTTAGTGGTCCTTCTGGGAAAGCAGGAACCTGCAGTATCTCTATGGCAGACGTGGACTTGAATGTGGCTGCACCAAAAGTGAAAGGGGGTGTTGATGTTATGCTTCCAAAAGTAGAGGGGAAAGTCAGTGTCCCTGAAGTTGATGTCAAAGGCCCCAAAGTGGATGTGAGTGCCCCAGATGTGGAAGTTCATGGTCCGGACTGGAATCTGAAAATGCCCAAGATGAAAATGCCCAAGTTCAGCACTCCAGGAGTCAAAGGGGAAGGGCCAGATGTAGATGTGAGTCTCCCCAAAGGTGATGTCAGTATTTCAGGGCCCAAGGTTCATGTGGATGCCCCAAATGTCAATATCGGGGGCCTGGCAGGCAACCTTAAAGGCCCTGATGTTCAGCTGCCTGAAGTGAGTGTCAAGACACCAAAGCTGTCCATGCCTGATGTGGATTTGCATGTGAAAGGCCCCAAAGTAAAAGGAGAGTATGATGTAACAGCGCCAAAACTTGAAGGAGAGCTGAAAGGCCCCAAAGTGGACATCGATGTCCCAGATGTGGATATCCAGGGCCCAGACTGGCACCTGAAGATCCCCAAGATGAAAATGCCCAAGTTCACTGTTCCAGGGTTCAAAGCTGAGGGCCCTGAAGTCAATGTAAACCTGCCTAAGCCTGATGTGGACATTTCTGGGCCCAAGGTAGATGTTAGTGCTCCAGATGTGAATATTGAGGGACCAGAGGGGAAATTGAAAGGACCCAAGTTTAAGATGCCTGAGATGAATATCAAAGCACCAAAGATTTCCATACCAGATGTGGACTTACACTTGAAAGGCCCTAGTGTAAAAGGAGAATATGATGTCACAGTGCCAAAGGTTGAAGGTGAGATTAAAGTTCCTGATGTTGAACTTAAGAGTGCCAAAGTGGACATTGATGCTCCAGATGTGGATGTTCATGGCCCAGACTGGCACCTGAAGATGCCCAAGATGAAAATGCCCAAGTTCAGTATGCCTGGCTTCAAAGGAGAGGGCCCGGAAGTGGATGTGAACCTGCCCAAGACTGACATTGACATTGCTGGACCCAAGGTGGATGTTGAAGGTCCAGATGTGAATATTGAAGGACCTGAAGGAAAGCTAAAGGGTCCCAAGTTTAAGATGCCAGAGATGAACATCAAGGCCCCCAAGATCTCCATGCCTGATGTAGATTTGCACATGAAAGGTCCCAAGGTGAAGGGAGAATATGATGTTACAGTGCCAAAGCTGGAAGGGGACCTGAAGGGGCCCAAAGTAGACCTCAGTGCACCAGATGTTGAAGTTCACGGTCCCGACTGGAATCTGAAGATGCCAAAGATGAAGATGCCCAAATTCACCATGCCCAGCCTTAAAGGAGAGGGCCCAGAATTGGATGTGAATCTGCCCAAGGCGGATCTCGACATTTCTGCACCAAAGGTAGATATTAGTGCTCCAGATCTGAGCCTTGAAGGGCCAGAAGGAAAGTTGAAAGGCCCCAAGTTTAAGATGCCTGAGATGCACTTCAGAGCTCCTAAGATGACCCTGCCAGATGTTGACATGGATCTTAAAGGACCCAAAATGAAAGGCAGTCTTGATGTGTCTGCACCAAAAATAGAAGGTGAGATGAAAGCTCCAGAGGTGGACATCAAAGGCCCCAAATTAGATGTTAAAGCACCAGATGTGGAAGTTCAGGGTGCGGACTGGAGTCTGAAGATGCCCAAGATGAAAATGCCTAAATTCAGCATGCCCAGCTTCAAAGGCCAGGGCCCAGATGTGGATGTGAACCTGCCTAAGGCTGACATTGATGTCTCTGGGCCAAAGGTGGACATTGAAGCCCCAAATGTGAGCCTTGAGGGGCCTGAAGGAGAACTCAAGGGTCCTAAGTTTAAGATGCCTGAGATGCACATCAAGGCCCCCAAGATCTCAATGCCTGATGTGGACTTAAACTTGAAAGGCCCCAAAGTCAAAGGGGATGTGGATGTGTCTGTGCCAAAGATAGAAGGTGAAATGAAAGTGCCAGATGTGGACATCAAAGGCCCCAAAGTGGATGTTGCTGTCCCAGATGTGGACGTTCAAGGCCCAGACTGGCACCTGAAGATGCCCAAGATGAAAATGCCCAAGTTCAGCATGCCTGGCTTCAAAGGAGAGGGCCCTGAGGTGGATGTGAATCTGCCTAAAGCCGATATTGACATTTCAGGACCCAAGGTGGATATTGAAGCCCCAGATGTGAGTCTTGAGGGGCCAGAAGGAAAGCTCAAGGGTCCTAAGTTCAAGATGCCCGAGATGCACTTCAAGGCCCCCAAGATCTCTATGCCTGATGTGGACTTAAACTTGAAAGGCCCTAAAGTCAAAGGGGATGTGGATGTGTCTGTGCCCAAGATAGAAGGTGAAATGAAAGTGCCAGATGTGGACATCAAAGGCCCCAAAGTGGATGTTGATGTCCCAGATGTGGACGTTCAAGGCCCTGACTGGCACCTGAAGATGCCCAAGATGAAAATACCCAAGTTCAGCATGCCAGGCTTCAAAGGCCAGGGCCCAGATGTGGACGTGAACCTGCCTAAGGCTGACATCGATGTCTCTGGACCCCAGGTGGACATTGAAGCCCCAGATGTGAGTCTTGAGGGGCCAGAAGGAAAGCTCAAGGGTCCTAAGTTCAAGATGCCCGAGATGCACTTCAAGGCCCCCAAGATCTCTATGCCTGATGTGGACTTAAATTTGAAAGGCCCTAAAGTCAAAGGGGATGTGGATGTGTCTGTCCCCAAGATAGAAGGTGAAATGAAAGTGCCAGATGTGGACATCAAAGGCCCCAAAGTGGACGTTGATGTCCCAGATGTGGACGTTCAAGGCCCTGACTGGCACCTGAAGATGCCCAAGATGAAAATGCCCAAGTTCAGCATGCCTGGCTTCAAAGGAGAGGGCCCTGATGTGGATGTGAATCTGCCTAAAGCTGATATTGACATTTCAGGACCCAAGGTGGATATTGAAGCCCCAGATGTGAGTCTTGAGGGGCCAGAAGGAAAGCTCAAGGGTCCTAAGTTCAAGATGCCCGAGATGCACTTCAAGGCCCCCAAGATCTCAATGCCTGATGTGGACTTAAACTTGAAAGGCCCTAAAGTCAAAGGGGATGTGGATGTGTCTGCCCCCAAGATAGAAGGTGAAATGAAAGTGCCAGATGTGGACATCAAAGGCCCCAGAGTGGATGTTGATGTCCCTGATGTGGACGTTCAAGGCCCTGACTGGCACCTGAAGATGCCTAAGATGAAAATGCCTAAATTTAGTGTGCCTGGCTTCAAAGGAGAGGGCCCTGAGGTGGATGTGAACTTGCCCAAGGCTGATATTGACATCTCTGGACCCAAGGTGGACATTGAAGCCCCAGATGTGAGTCTCGAGGGGCCAGAAGGAAAGCTCAAGGGTCCTAAGTTTAAGATGCCTGAGATGCATTTCAAAACTCCAAAGATCTCCATGCCTGACATTGATTTAAACCTCAAGGGCCCCAAGGTGAAAGGGGATGTGGATGTTTCTCTGCCCAAAGTTGAAGGGGATCTGAAAGGGCCAGATGTGGACATCAAAGGCCCCAAAGTGGATGTTGATGTCCCAGATGTGGATGTTCAAGGCCCTGACTGGCACCTGAAGATGCCCAAGATAAAAATGCCCAAGTTCAGCATGCCTGGCTTCAAAGGAGAGGGCCCAGAAGTGGATGTGAATCTGCCCAAGGGTGACATAGATATCTCAGGACCGAAGGTGGATGTTGAAGTTCCAGATGTGAACATTGAAGGTCCCAATGCAAAAGTAAAAGGTCCTAAATTTAAATTGCCAGAAATGAATATAAAGCCTCAGAAGATATCCATGCCAGATGTTAGTTTGCATTTGAAAGGCCCTAAAGTGAAAGGAGATTATGATGTTACAGTTCCAAAAGTAGAAGGAGAGATTAAAGCCCCTGATGTTGACATCAAAGGTCCAAAAGTGGACATTAATGCACCAGATACAGGAGTTCATGGTCCAGACTGGCACCTGAAGATGCCCAAGGTGAAAATGCCCAAGTTCAGCATGCCTGGCTTCAAAGGAGAGGGCCCAGAAGTGGATGTGAACTTGCCCAAGGCTGACATTGACATCTCAGGACCCAAGGTGGACATTGATGCCCCAGATGTAAATATTGAAGGTCCGGAGGGGAAACTAAAGGGTCCCAAATTCAAGATGCCAAGCATGCACATACAGACGCACAAAATCTCCATGCCTGATGTTGGACTTAATCTGAAATCCCCTAAACTTAAGTCTGATGTAGATGTTTCTCTTCCTAAAGTGGAAGGAGACTTGAAAGGTCCTGGAATTGATGTGAAAGCCCCGAAAATGGACGTGGATGTTGGTGATATAGATATTGAATGTCCAGAAGGAAAGCTTAAGGGGCCCAAGTTTAAGATGCCTGAGATGCACTTCAAGGCTCCCAAGATCTCCATGCCTGATGTGGACTTAAACTTGAAAGGCCCCAAAGTTAAAGGGGATGTGGATGTGTCTGTGCCCAAGATAGAAGGTGAAATGAAAGTGCCAGATGTGGACATCAAAGGCCCCAAAGTGGACATTGATGTCCCAGATGTGGATGTGCAAGGCCCTGACTGGCACCTGAAGATGCCCAAGGTGAAAATGCCCAAGTTCAGCATGCCTGGCTTCAAAGGAGAGGGCCCCGAGGTGGATGTGAACCTGCCTAAAGCTGATATTGACATCTCTGGACCCAAGGTGGACATTGAAGCCCCAGATGTGAGTCTCGAGGGGCCAGAAGGAAAATTGAAAGGCTCTAAATTTAAGATGCCTAAGTTGAATATCAAAGCTCCCAAGATCTCCATGCCAGATGTGGACTTAAACTTGAAGGGACCCAAACTGAAAGGAGAGATGGATGTTTCTGTGCCAGATCTAGAAGGTGATCTTAAAGGTCCACAAGTTGACATCAAAGGTCCCAGTGTGGATGTGGAAGTGCCTGATGTTGAACTGGAGTGTCCTGAAGCAAAGTTGAAAGGCCCTAAGTTTAAGATGCCTGAGATGCACTTCAAGACCCCCAAGATCTCCATGCCTGATGTGGACTTAAACTTGAAAGGCCCCAAAGTCAAAGGGGATGTGGATGTATCTGTGCCAAAATTGGAGGGAGATTTGAAAGGCCCCAGTGTGGATGTGGAGGTGCCTGATGTTGATCTGGAGTGTCCTGATGCAAAGTTGAAAGGCCCTAAGTTTAAAATGCCTGAGATGCATTTCAAAGCCCCCAAGATCTCCATGCCTGATGTGGACTTAAACTTGAAAGGCCCCAAAGTCAAAGGGGATGTGGATGTGTCTGTGCCCAAGATAGAAGGTGAAATGAAAGTGCCAGATGTGGACATCAAAGGCCCCAAAGTGGACATTGATGTCCCAGATGTGGACGTTCATGGCCCAGACTGGCACCTGAAGATGCCCAAGGTGAAAATGCCCAAGTTCAGCATGCCTGGCTTCAAAGGAGAGGGCCCAGAAGTGGATGTGAACCTGCCCAAGGCCGACATAGATGTCTCAGGACCCAAGGTGGACATTGATGTTCCAGATGTGAACATTGAAGGTCCAGATGCAAAACTGAAGGGCCCCAAGTTCAAAATGCCAGAGATAAACATCAAAACTCCCAAGATCTCCATGCCTGATGTTGACCTGGATTTGAAAGGATCCTTAGGCAAGGGTGATTTTGATGTGTCTGTTCCTAAGATTGAAGGGACTTTCAAAGGCCCAGAAGTAGACCTTAAAGGTCCATGTCTGGATGTTGAAGGCCCTGATGCCAAACTCAGTGGCCCACGTTTGAAGATGCCATCACTAGATGTATCTGCTCCTAAAGTAACTGCTCCTGACATTGATTTGCATCTCAAGACACCCAAAATTGGAATTTCTGGTCCCAAATTAGAAGGTGGTGAACTGGACCTCAAGGGACCCAAAGTTGATTTAGAAGCTCCAAGCTTAGATGTACACGTGGAGAGCCCAGATGTTAACATTGAAGGGCCAGATGTAAAAATTCCCAAATTTAAGAAACCCAAGTTTGGGTTTGGGGCAAAAAGCCCTAAAGCTGACTTCAAGTCACCTACACTTGATGTGACTGTTCCTGAGGCAGAGCTGAACGTTGAAGCTCCTGAAATTAGTGTTGGTGGCAAGGGCAAGAAAAGTAAGTTTAAAATGCCGAAAATTCACATGAGTGGGCCTAAAATGAAGGCCAAGAAGCAAGGATTTGATTTGAATGCTCCTGGGGGTGAAATTGATGCCAGTCTCAAGTCTCCTGACATAGACGTCAATGTTGCGGGGCCGGATGCCTCACTGAAAGTTGATGTGAAATCTCCCAAGACCAAGAAACCTATGTTTGGGAAAATGTACTTCCCAGATGTAGAATTTGACATTAAATCATCTAAATTTAAAGCTGAGGCATCTCTCCCTAGCCCCAAAATGGGGGGTGAAATCCAGGCGCCTGATCTGGATATTTCTTCACCAGGGATTAATGTGGAAGGTCCTGACATCAAGCTGAAGGCTCCCAAGATCAAGGCGCCAGGTGTTGATGTCTCAGGGCCAAAGATAGAGGGCGACTTGAAAGGCCCCAGGGTGCAGGCAAACCTGGACGCACCTGACATCAACATTGAAGGCCCAGATGCTAAAGTCAAAGCACCATCATTTGGCATTTCTGCCCCTCAAGTATCCATCCCTGATGTGAATGTTAGCTTGAAAGGACCAAAGATAAAGGGTGATGTCCCCAGTATGGGACTAGAAGGACCAGATGTAGATCTGCAAGGTCCGGAATCAAAAATTAAGTTCCCTAAGTTTGCGATGCCCAAGATCGGCATCCCTGGTGTGAAAGCAGATGGTGGGGGAGCTGAGGTCCAGCTGCCCTCTCTTGAAGGTGGCTTGAGCACAGCAGATGTCAAGCTTGAAGGGCCTGACGTGTCTCTCAAGGGGCCAAAAGTAGACTTGCCATCAGTGAGCCTCTCTACGCCAAAAATCTCTGGACCTGACCTTGACCTGAACTTGAAAGGACCAAGTTTGAAGGGAGACCTGGATGTATCTGTTCCCAGCATGAAGGTGCATGCCCCCGGGCTTGACCTCAGAGGTGTCGGCGGAAAGGTGAAGGTAGAAGGTGATGGTGTGAAGGTGCCTGGAATCGATGCTACAGCAGCACTTGACATTGGTGTGCCGGATGTGACCCTGAAAGGACCAAGCCTGCAGGGTGACCTGGCCGTCTCTGGTGACATCAAGTGTCCCTCGGTATCAGTAGGTGCTCCTGATCTAAGCTTGGAGGCACCTGAGGGTGGTATTAAACTTCCCAAGATGAAGCTGCCCCAGTTTGGCATCTCCACTCCAGGGTCTGACATGGACATCAATGTCAAGGGGCCACAGGTGACTGGAGAACTCAAGGGGCCTGGCATGGACATGAACCTCGGAGGCCTAAACCTGAAAGGGCCTCAGCTCTCTGGCCCTCAAATCTCAGCGCCAGATGTGGACTTGAACTTGGAAGGACCAAAAATAAAAGGCAGCCTTGGGGCCAGTGGTGAGATGAAAGGCCCCATGGTTGGTGTTCCGGGCATCAGTGTTCAAGGCTTGGAAGGAAACCTCCAAACGCCTGGAGTGAAGTCATCTGGATGTGATGTGGTGCTGCCAGGTATGAACGTGAAACTCCCAACCGGGCAGATTTCTGGTCCTGAAATCAAAGGTGACCTGAAAGGTTCAGGGATAGGTTTCCGTGGAGCTGCTCCCGACATTGGCGTGAAAGGGCCTTCATTGAACGTGGCATCTCCTGAGTCAGATTTTGGTGTCAGCTTGAAGGGCCCGAAAATCAAAGGAGGCGTGGATGTTTCAGGAGGTGTCAGTGCCCCAGATATCAGCCTGGGTGAAGGGCACATGAGTGTCAAAGGTTCCAGCGGGGAGTGGAAAGGACCCCAGGTCTCCTCTGCTCTCAACCTGGATGCACCTAAGTTTGCTGGAGGACTTCATTTCTCAGGACCAAAGGTAGAAGGAGGTGTCAAAGGAGGCCAGGTTGGACTTCAGGGTCCTGGACTGAGCGTGTCTGGGCCTCAAGGTCACTTGGAAAGCGGATCTGGAAAAGTAACATTCCCCAAGATGAAGATCCCCAAGTTCACCTTCTCTGGCCGGGAGCTAGTGGGCAGAGAAGTGGGAGTGGATATTAACTTCCCTAAAGCAGAGGCCAGTGTCCAGTCTGGAGCCGGAGAGGGCGAGTGGGAAGAATCTGATGTAAAACTTAAAAAGTCCAAAATCAAGATGCCCAAGTTCACCTTCTCCAAACCTAAAGGGAAAGCTGGCATCACCGGCTCACCAGAAGCGTCTGTTTCGGGGTCCAAAGGTGACCTGAAGAGCTCCAAGGCCAGCTTGGGTTCCCTGGAAGGCGAGGCCGAGGTCGACACGTCTTCACCCAAAGGCAAATTCTCCTTATTCAAAAGCAAGAAGCCAAGCCACCGCTCAAATTCCTTCAGTGATGAAAGGGAGCACTCTGCCCCTACCACCCCCACGGGGACTTTGGAGTTTGATGGCGGGGAGGTGGTGCTGGAAGGCGGGAAAGTCAAAGGGAAACATGGCAAGCTGAAATTTGGTACCTTTGGTGGATTGGGGTCAAAGAGCAAAGGTCATTATGAGGTGACCGGGAGCGATGATGAGGCAGGCAAGTTACAGGGGAGTGGAGTGTCCTCGTCCTCTAAGAAGTCCCGACTGTCGTCGTCTTCTAGCAACGACAGTGGGACTAAGGTTGGCATCCAGCTTCCCGAGGTGGAGCTGACAGTTTCCACAAAGAAAGAGTAGCCGCCTCTGTGTGTGTACATATCTGTATAGAACTCCATCAGCCTTGGGTGTGTTTGTATATAAACTCCAAAGAGAAACACGCCAACAGCCTCAGCAACGATGCAAAGATCTGGCCTCTGCCAGGGGCAAGTGCTGAAAAGCCAGCCGCCTTTTGGCTCCTCCCGGAGCTTTACAGATAGATTCCAAGTTCTTCGTCCAGCCCACGTGCAAAATCAGCAGTATTTGCCTTCAGATTTCAGTTTTTTTGTTTTGTTTTGTTTTCTTTTTTTGCATTGAATGCTGAGAGCTCCTGTTTACTAAGCCAGCTTTTGTGTTTATTATCTTCATTTTTACTGAACATTGTTAGTGTTGGGGTCATGGAAACCCACTTTTTTCATTGTAATGACTTTTGGGGGCTTTTGTTAGTAAGGGTGGGGTGGGGCAGAAGGCAGTAGAGGGGGGCCAGTCCTTTATTTCTCCTACAATTGGGCCTACTCGAACAGCAAACACCCAAAGATGGCTGAGAGGAGCCGGCCGGCGGTCCGTGTGGGTGTTTCTAGAACTGGGTATCATTGCTTTTTGTTTCCCCAGGGGTGGCGGTCAGTCCCAGCCTGTTAGGTGCTCATGGGGGAGAGGGAATTAGAATCTCTTTGTAAATCAGGCCACCTACTCGCTCCACACGAGGGCCTTCCATTCTCTGTGTTGTAAGAGAAATGTTTTCTTCGTGATTGCCATGTTCCTGATATTAGTTCTGATTTCCTTTAACAAATGTTATTGTGATTAAGAAAATTTCCAGCACTTTAATGGCAAATTAATTGAGAATGTAAGAAAATTGATGCTGTCAAGGGCAAATAAAGCTGTTTATTAACCCGGATATCCTTTGCCTTTGCATTCTGTGTTGACAGGATGAGGCCTGGGGAGGCTGCAGGCCCAGTACTGACAGGTCAGACTGGGTCCACTTTGTGGCGTTGCTGGTTTGCATTAGTGGGTAGTGGGAGGGATTCTTTGCTTCTCGATTCTCACAATGAGGCTGATTGCACTACCGCTGAGAAGTTGAGAGAGGCTGGGCATGTTGGCAGCCCAAACCTCAGGACCTTCCTGCCAATTTGGCATCCTCAGATAGGAATATACCGTACAAAAGTGATTCGGACATGAATGGATAAAAAGCCCTGTTAGAGTGACAGGAAAGGATCTGGCTGTGGGTCACAGGCCCACCCCCTGTTCCTGATGTGGCTGCTAGTTTGCTGACTGGCCTCATTACCTGCCATCCTGGGCCACAGTGTTCTCTCATTTGAAATAAGGGTGTTGATCTCATGTCATATATCCTCATGATTCCTTCTAGGCCATGTGAGGGCTACACTTTATGAAAAAAATCTTCTGACAAAAGGTCCCCCCCCTCCTTTTCTTTTTGGTTATGCCATGCAGCACTGTGGGATCTTAGTCCCCTGACCAGGGATCAGATCCGTGCCTGCTACACTGGGAGCACGGAGTCTTAACCACTGGGCCACCGGGGAAATCCAAAAGGCCCCTTTTCATTTCTAGTTCTGTGGACAATACGTGGTGGGTGGGGGAGCCTCCTAGAAACTGGTCCCTGACGTCCGTCATTGCTGGGCAGAGGGCGGTGCCTTCTTAGACCGAAATGGTCTAACCAAGCTTAGCCCCCTGGCCCTGTCTCAGAGTTGCCATCTTTCTGCCAGCGGAAGGAAGCTCTGTTCTTCTCTGGTCACCCTCAGAATGGAGATGCCAGCTCCCACCCCTCCCACCCTCTCCAGAGCCAGTTTGTGGGTCTCTGTGCAGAGCAGTGGGGTCTCCTGCCCAGAGAGAACTCTACTTGCCCTCGCTTGGATTGCAAACGGGCCTTGACCAGCTTCACCCATTCACACCTCAGCCAGTAGAGTCTGTGTCCTTGGGATGGGGGGGTTTGGAGCTCAAGGGTGAGTCTAGGTTTTGGAAAGGATAGGTAATAAGGGAGGCACTTGATTGCCTGTGGCTTTTAAATTTTTTATTTTTTTAATTTAAGTATTGCCAATTAACAATGTTGTGTTACTTTCAAGCGTACAGCAAAGTGATACGGTTATATACATATATTCTTCAGATTTCTTTCCCTTATAGGTTACTACAAAATGTTGAGTACTATCCCTCAGGTTCTTATTGGTGATCTATTTTACATGTAATAGTGTACATCTGTTCATCTCAAACTCCTAATTTATCCCTCCCCTCCATGGCTTTTTTAAAGCTGCTTTAGTGAAGTGGGCAAGAGTTTCCTCACCTGTTAAAACAGGGATAGCATCCACAGGACCAGAGTCTGTTCAGGTATTTGGGATGTCTGCAATGCAGGGGCACCACCTTTAAGTCTGTAGCTTTTGTGTCACAGCTGTGTTTGTTTATTGGGAGCACGAGGGTGGGCATGGAGTCCTAGAGAGGCAGGTGTGAGCCCTTGCAGACACTGAAAAGTTAGAGCGTGCACACCCACCTACATGCATTTGTCTTCTCACTGGGTCTGGGCATCCCACAAGTGCTCTTCTTATAACCACAGCTCAAAGCCCAATTCTCAGTCCTTCCTCCATTCTCAAGCTGACACGGGTGTGGGGGTGGGACAGAATGTGCATGCTGCCTGAGATACGTGGCTCTCGTGTTTGGAGGGAGGTGAAGTGGGTGACAGTGGGGTGTCCTTGTGTACACAGCCAGGGGGATGCTCAATGGGATGCTGGAAAGATCTCCCAGGCAGAACTAAGCAGGCTGTCCAATAATATAACAATTAAAAAGAAAAAAAAATTTTTTTTTACTTGAGGAAGGGGTGATCTTCAAGGTGGCCCTCATTGTCCATTCATTCCACGAGTAGTTTTTGAGCATTACGTGGTTAGATGCTGTCCCAGCCCCACCTGGTTTCAGAATCCTCTGCCGACCTCTGCAGACCTAATGCTGTGATGGATGTGGGACACTGGTCTGCTCTGAACACTGGAAATATACTCACTTGTAATCGAGGTTTCTACCAGGGATGATATGGGTGATGGTGATGGGGCCTGGACTTTCAGGGCGAGATCTTATTGGCTGGGACAGTCAGGGGTGGTGGGTCAGATGGGTGATGAACATGGCAATGGGCCAATCAAAGGTGAGAAACTGCTCAGCCACCCTCCTCCCACATCAGGCCCAGGGTGGAGGCAGTGGTGGCCCCAGGATGGGGTCCGTCCCCTCTGCAGTGAACATGACCACAGATGAGGGGGCATGTAGGAGGTGCCAGGGGCTGGAGAAGCATGTGGGGGACCCATCCCAGCGGACTTTTCTTGGCTTGTCCTGCCTCACCACTCCGAGTTCCCCCTTCACTCTGTTCTTCTCACCTTCCCACCATTTACCCCTGCCCTCTCTCAGTCCCTGATGGGGATGGCCCGAGGTATTCCCCAAAGTCCTTCGGGGCCCAGATCTAGGAGGTTTTAACACTCTGCAGTCCCAGTGCCGGCATTTGAGGCCAAGGAGTGGCCTCGGGAGACCTGGACGGGGCGGGCCTGGGCTCCTCAGGGTCCTTGGTTGGAGCTCCAGGGCTGAGTCACAGCCCAGGGCCTGCAGCCTGTCAGTGCGCCTGGCTTTGGGCAGTGTGACTGTGGATGTGGCTCCGGGGACACTTGGAAAGTTCACTTATTTTGAAACGCATCCTGTGCTCACAAAAGGCAACAAATATTTTTTGGTCACTCAAATTCACTTCTGTATGTGTCAGGGTCCCTCCTGGAAATGTAGTTCAAGATAGTTCAGCCACAGAGACTTTAATGGGGGCTCTTTATGCAGTAGTGGGCCAGGACCAAGAAGCCAACAAGGGCTGTGAGACCCCCAGGGCCAGCAGGAGGCTGGTGTTACCCCTGGACCTGAAGGGGCCTGGGAAGAGATGGTGTTCCTGGAATCCAGCCATGCAGGACCACAGCATCTGCCAGAACTGCCTGCCATGAGAAGCAGGAAGAAACACCCTGAGTTTTCCCCCTGCTGGTTGCTCGTGCTGGAGGGCAAATGAGCCTAGGTGTTACAGGTAGAGCTATCAGCCTCCTGGAGGCACAGAGCAAGGCAGAGACGCAGGGAGAAAGAATCTGAGAGTGGAGGGCCAGATAGAGAACAACCAGAACAATGTCTTCATCTTCATTTTTCTGTTGGGCGAGTTTGACTTTCTATACATTGAGATTTCTTTGAATAGCCACAATTATGTGGGATACATCTAAGATATGATCATAAAATACTATGACCATTTTTGTTTTAAGCACACACAGTTATACTAGGGAGACACTGCACTTAAACTTGTGTGAAAATTTTGATGTTAAGAATGTTTTAGTCCTCTCTCTTTAGGAACTGCTCTCAACATCACTTGTACCTTTGAAAAATTCCAGTTTCCTTGGAGAAGTACAGATCTTCCTCTCTTGAGGGCTGCAAATAGCCAAAGGGCCTGGAAGATACTCCAGGGCTCCTAGAACAGAATCCTGAAAAGAACACTGGACCTGGGAGTCAGTGGGATTCTCCATGACCCTGAAGAAATGAAGGCCCCCTGCTTTGAGCCTCGGTTTCCTTATTTGTAACGTGGATAAGGCATATATTCTCTAAGGCCCTTGCCAGTTCCAAGAGTCTCTGATCTTTATAGAAGCAAGGCTGGTTAATTACGTGGATAGGGCTGTTTGGGGTCAAAAGCAAGGCATGATTATAACGTAGTGCAACCAGTTTCCCCACATAAATTGTCTCCAATGTTTTGAGCAACAGCTATGTTGAAATACTGCTATGTTCCCAGTGTCCCAAAGCCAAAGTACTGCACCCCCAAGACTCTGCATGTCGCTGGCACATGTGTCTCATTTCTTGAGTCCCTTCTTAGCTCTCTGGCATCACGCTTCAGCTGTGATGTGAGAGGTGCAGCTAAGCATGTGAATGATTTTTTTAAAAAATGGATTTATTCACTTTAAACCTATACAGAAATTGCAAGAATGACACAGTGAATATCCATATAACTGAGACTTGCCTGGCCGTCCAGTGGTTAAGATTCTAGGCTTCCACTGCAGGGGGGCATGGGTTCATTTCCTGGTTGGGGGAACTAAAGATCCCACATGCCATGGTGCAGCCACACACACACACAAATATATCCATATAACTTTCACTTAATGTCCCAGTTTCACCTTGTTGGTTTTAATCTCTCTCTCTTTAGATGTTATAATTATCATTGTATTTGCTGACTCATTTGAAAGTGAATTACAAACACCATGACCCTTGACTCCTAAGCCCTTCAGTATGTATGGACATTCTCTTACATAATGGTATCAGAGCCCAATTTAGGAAACTTAGTATTGCTACTATTATCTGACATATTGCCCATGTTTAAATTTTGCCAGTTGCCTCAATGATTACAATTTCTTTCCAGCAATGAATATTTTCCCATTGAAGCCTCAACCACCCGTGATCCCACGTGACATATAATTGCCATGGTCTCTTTAGTTTCTTCGACCTGGAAAGAATTCCTCCTCCTCTTTTCATTGTCATTTGGACACTGATTTTCGAAGTGTAAGGGGCCAGTTGTTTTGCAGAAATGTCCCCAGTGTGGGTTTGTCTGAGGACATTTCTTCACGCTTTGGTTCAGGTTTTGCCTTCTGGGGCAGAGAGCGCACAGAAGGGGAGTAAGGTCACCGTTCAGGACCCTCAGGACTCGGGTCCCTTGATGAAGGAGGAGATTGCCTAGTTTCTCCATTGTAACAGTACCGTGCTTTTTTCCCCCTTTGGAATTAACAAGTAAACCCAAGTTTTCAACAAAGAAGTCCAAGTTTGGGCAAGTTTATTTTGCAAGTACACTTGAAAGAGCTGGTGGCCTGCACGCCTCGGCCTTGGCGGGCTCTCCGGCTGGGGTTTGGAAACTGGAGT